GTTGCCTTCATCTGTTATTAATTTTTTATATTTTATTCTTTTGTTCAAATCCATAACATTGGGATATACTAGTGCCTCCATTGGAGATAGCCAGAGAGGTATTTTCACATCATGGTTTCTTTTAATTCTTTCCCATATATATAACAAAACGTCCCTTATCCAGTGTGTTTGAAAGTAGCCATGGGTTTTATTTTTTCCATCTCAGAGAAACGTGTGCCAACCAATCTGTAAATCGAAGCTTTCTATTGTTGATATTCTTTTGTCCTCCAGGTTAATCCAATCTTTGATCCAGGTACTCACTGTGGCTTGATAGTATAACTCAAAATCTGGGAGCGCCAATCCTCCCTTACTTCTACTGTCTTGCATTAATTTGTATTTTACTCTGGCTTTTTTCTTTTGCCAAATAAATTTACTAATTCTTTTGTTCAGGTCTTTGAAGAATTTTTTCCCTAGTTTGACTGGCACGGTTTGAAAGAGATACAACAATTTTGGTAGTACATTTGTTTTAATGGAGGCTATCCTTCCCATCCAAGAAAGTTGTAAGTTTACCCATCTATCTAGATCTTTCTGTATCTGGTCTATCAACTTGTCATAGTTATCAGCCTTTATTGTGGAGCATTTCGCTGTAAGCCAAATTCCTAAATATTTTACTTTTTTCGTTGTCTGAATCCTTAATTCTTTTGTCAGTTCCTCATTTTGCTTTTTAGTACAATTTTTGGTTATTATCTCAGTCTTTTCTCTATTGATTTTGAGTCCTGCTACTTTACTGAATGCCTCTATCTCTTGCATTAAATTTTTGCTTGACTCTTTTGGGTCCTCCATTATGAAGACCATGTCATCAGCGAACGCTTGCAATTTGTATGTTTCTTGTTTAATAGTCAACCCTTGAATATTTTGGTTGTTCCTTATCTGGGTTAACAACACTTCTGATAAGATATATAGTAATGGGGCAAGTGGACATCCCCGTCTCATTCCTTTGCTTATTTTTATATTGTTTGTGGTTTCTCCATTAATTACTAGTTTTTTTTTTTTTAAAACAAGTTTTATTAATTTTTAAAACACACAAATTATCATTATTCATTACATGTTTAAACCTTTTTCCATTGTAAATTTAACAAGTCAGATAAATTATGATTCTGTTTTAAACCATTTCCATATAATATACCAAAACCTCTTATTCAATTTCTCTTTACTTCTCTTTACTCTTATTCAATATCATTATTATTATTTCATCTGATTCTTTCTGACTTAGTTACCATTATTCTCATTCTATATTTCTACAAGTTTTTACCAATTCTCCCCCCAAAAAAGACATATACACACAACACACAAAACATAAAAAAAAATCTTTTTGGAAAGTAACTTGGGCCCAGGTATCTCTCTCTTCATGGACTTCAATTATATTCATGCTCATCTTACATATCATTACTTATTTTATTTACCATTCTAAACCTTCTATATTAACTTCTCCACATATTTCACACTTCTTAATTCTACCTTAATTAATCATCTTAGTTTAAATCATTATACTTGTATCTTTTGTCCATTTTTTATCATCCCTTTGTCTCATCCCTTATGAAAAAAAAGAAAATCAGTTTCTCCTGAAATCATTAATCAGAGTATGATGCCTTTCTATCTCCCCCCTAAGTTAATCAAATTAATCTTTAAAATAATATCTAATACCCAATCAGATTTTGCTTGGTACATTCTATCTAACTAATACATCCAACACAATTAAGTGCATAATTAGACAATAAATCCAAATATTAAAAAGAAATACTATAATAAAATTTTTATAATAACATCAATACCATAATTTTATTAAACTCTTTAATTAAAACAATATTCTAAACCTCTCCTATTATTAAGTTTTAAAGCCAATCATTTTTAAACATTTTAACATTTTAATCTCTTATCAACTCTTAAACCATTACAATACTACCATCTCATCTTATGTACCTTGCAAAATCTTTTTTTTTTTTTTAAATTATACTTTATCCATTATCCATAAAAAATTCCTTTTTTCCATTTAATTTCAAAACGTTGTAGCTTTTCTCCACCTTTTCCCTTTCTTTCTTTTCCCAACAAACCTTTCTACCCCCCCTTCTTCTAGCCTCTGCCTTACCGGCTTCCCTTCTCTGTCGTATTTCTTTTCCCCTTTGTTTACAATCATCATATTGGTTTTGCACTTTATTTTTCCCTTTCTTAAATGTTTTTTTGGATCTTAAGTCCTTAAATCCTTTAGTTTTCTTCTTTTCTCTTCTCTTCTTTTGTTTCTCTCTTCCTTTTTTCTGGATCAAATTCTGAGATTCATTAAAGATGGCTCCTTCCTTTCTTTCTTGTTCCTCTGCTGTCTTCATCTGTTGTAATTTTTGTTGATAATTAGTAAGCGCCATTTCTAAGAAAAGGAAAGCTTCTTCCACACCATCTTTACCATTTTTTTTTGCTTGTTCATATTCTTTTCTTAGTTCCTCAACAGAAAGAGCCATTATAAATCTTTTCTCTTCTTTTCTTCTTCTTTCTTCTTACAACAACCAGAATATTCAAAAGAAAATAAAAAAGATAAAACAGTCCCAAAGTTATCAATCAGTCCAAACCAAGGCAGAGTTCTCACTTTCTCCTTCTGGGGTAATATCAATCAAAGAGAAAGAAAGTCCAAATCTGTTTAAAATCTTATTACAATATATTCTAGTCTTCAAATCCTTAAGGCATCTGCTCCAACAAATCTTAGCATACAAATATTTTCTTCTTAATCCTCTCTCTTCCCACTCATCGCTTAAAACCAATTTCCACCTAAAAAAATAGGTTTCTTAATATCCAGTTATTTATTCCGTAGGAAAAGAGGGAAAGCTATCCTTTCAGCACCTTCAAGCAGCCGCTTTTTTCCTCTTCTGGCAGGTATTATTCAGAGAATCATACTTTTCAGGAATTTTATTAAATATGTCTTAGAGTCCTAGGAGCCAAGAAAAACTTTCTCCTCTCAATCACTTTCTCCACTTCCTCCTGCGCATTCTTACCCGGCTGCCAGCTTCTTTGTGGCGGCCATTACGGACCGCCGCTGCACCGTCCTGGGAAAAGGGAGTTCTGCCGGCCAGGGAGGGAGCCTGCAGCACCCCCAAACCCTTCTCCGGATCCCCCCTACTTCAGCTGCCCCTGCAGGGCAGCCTAGCTCCGTACCCGGCTGGGTCGGAGCCCCAAAAACGGCTAGCGCGGCAGGGATCGCGCAGCTTCGCAAATCCCTGCCGCTCGCGAAGCCGACAAACCGGAAGTTCCATTAATTACTAGTTTTGCATTTTGTATAGAATATATTGTTTTGATTGATTAGTCCTATAAATTTTTTACCAAATTTCATCCTAGATAATTGCTCAATCAAAAATTGCCAATTTAAATTGTCAAATGCCTTTTGGGCATCCAAAAACATTAATGCCAACTGGTTGTTAGATTTGGTTTCATAATACTCTAGGACATCCATTATTATTCTTATATATTTTTTAATATATCTATTTTGGAGAAAACCATTTTAGTCTGGATGAATAATATCATTCAATATTTTTAAAATCTATCTGCAATTATTACCGCTAAAATTTTATAATCTACATTCAGGAGTGAGATAGGTCTGTAATTTCTAATTTGGTGAGGTTCTGTTTGTTCTTTGGGAATGAGGGATATCAGAGCTTCCGTCCATGTTTGAGGTGTTTTGGCACAATTCAGGGCCTCATCATATATTTCCACCAGCAGATCGCCTAGTATATCTTGGAATTCTTTATAGAATTCCGCAGGTATTCCGTCTGGTTTTATTGGTTTTATTGGTTTTCTGTCTTCCAATTGCCTCTTTTACCTCTTTTAAGGTTATTTTATCATTTAGTATCTCTCGAGAAGTTTCTGATATGATGGGTAATTCTTTGCCCTTGAAATATTGTGTGATGTTCTCCTCTAAAATTTCTTATTTTTTGTGTAAATTAGCAAAAAAAAATTGAGCTATTGTTTTCTTTTGCTCTAATTGTGAACACAATATTCCTTTCTCATTCTGTAGGGCTATTATAGTTCTTTTCTCCTGCTCTTTTTTTAGTTTGTGGGAGAGCCATTTCCCAGGCTTGTTCGTGTTCTCAAAGTAATGTTGTTTAACTAATTTTAATTTTCTAGCCATTTCTTCTTGGAGGCTTAAGTTTGTTTCGTGTTTAGTCAAATTTAATTCTTTTTTAATTGATTAATTACCCGGATCTTTCTGAAATTTAATTTCCAATTTTTCCAGTTTCTCTTGTCTCGCAATCTGTTGATTTTTCCTATCTCTATTCTTTTTTGCTACGAATGCTATTGTCAGACCCCTCACATATGGCTTTGTTGTATCCCATAAGTTTTGAATCATTGTGTGTTCATTCATATTAATTTCAAGAAATATTTTCAGTTCCTTATTTATCATTTGAATATATTCTTTGTCTCTCAGGATACTCTTATTAAATTTTAGGTCCATCTACCTGTCTTTTTCTTTCCTCTCCAAATCAGTTTAATTAGATTGTGGTCAGCCCAGGTGTTTGGCAAAATTTCCACTGTTTCTATTTTTTCCAGTAATTCCAAATCCATCCATATCATGTCAATGCTGGACCATGATTGGTGTGGGTTAGAAAAAAAGGTAAATTGGCTTTTAGATGTATTCAACTCCCTCCAGGCATCTTTTAGGTTCATTTCTTGAGCTAATTTGTCTAATGTTGTTGGGAGTATTCTTCTATTTTTCTTATTATTTTTAGTGGTTTTATAGTCCTTTTCTATATTGGACACCGCTTTATTATCCCCTACTATGCATATGTTAACTAGTTTAGTTTCTATGATTTTATTATGGAGTTTATAATAAAATTCCTTTTGATTGGTATTTGGAGCATAGATTACTACCAATAATACCTTCCTTTGTTCTATTGTTATTTCTATAAGAAGTATCCTTCCATCTTCATCACTGTGTATTAAATTTGGATTTAACCAGTTCTTAACATACACCGCAACGCCTCTCTTCTTTTGATTTGTCGGGGCCAAATGTAATTTACCCAATTTGGTTACTTCTAATAAATGTCTGTATTGTTTTGAAATATGTACTTCCTGTAGATATGTAATGTCTGCATTTTGGTTTGTGAGTTTTGTTATGATATGTACAGAATAACCCTTGAGTAACAAGGATATGCACATGGAAACGTTTATGAAAGTAGTTATGAATAATTATTCAGCCACACACGGATACACTAAATTGAGTTAAAGTTTACTTTAAGAAATAGCACAGTCCAGTAAACGGTCCAGGTCATATATGTTTAACAGTCCAAAGAATATCCAATTATAAAATTATAAATATAATATAATATAATATAATATAACTTGCAATATAATCAACCAATCGGAATATAGTATAAATCAATCTTAAAGCTACAAACATACATTGTTGGTTTATATATTGCCAACCCAACTAATTGGTGGACAGATTCCTAACATTCTCCCCCTTGGATAGGTCAATATATAATATATTACATCTTTAAACCATAATTCTCACAACACTCTTTATGCTTAATTGTACCTTGAGCTTTCGTGAAATGATCTGCAATATTATGTTCAGTCATGCAGTATTCTAACTGAATTAATTTATTTTGAACACACTGTCTAATGTTCAAATATCTCAAATCAGTATCTTTGGACCTTGTTTCAACAGCTAAATTAGTAGCCATACTAATTGCAGATTGGTTGTCTTCATAAACAATAAACCGATCACGTACAGTAATTCCAATATCCTTCAACAATTGTTTATAATATATCAATTCTGTACACATTAAAGATAAACATGAGAATTCCACTTCCATAGTGGATAAGCTAATATGTTGTTGCCTAATAGACTTCCATCCTATTAAAGCATTACCCACATTACCACTATACCTGATGTTGTCTTACGAGTCATTATATCAGTAGCAAAACTTGCATCAGCATATGCAGTTAACACTAATTCATTTCTTGGTTCTAAATATAATGAATAATGGATTGTGTGTTTTAAAAACCTAATTATTCACTTAGCTGCTTGCCAATGTCTTTCATTTGGTTCAGCGTTATACCTATCCAATTGGTTTACACCAGGGGTGTCCAACCTTTCACCTTCCCTGGGCCACATTAGAAGATGAAAATTTGGTTTGGGCCGCACATAATTAATTTAAATAATTAATTAAATTAAATAATTAAATTAAATAATTAAATTAAATTAAATTAAATTAAATTAAATTAAATTAAATTAAATTAAATTAAATTAATAATAAAATAAAATAAAATAAAATAAAATAAAATAAAATAAAATAAAATAATAATTTATTATTAATTATTTATTAAAAATTATTTATTTTTTATTTTATAATTTTCTGGCCAAATTTTGCGGGGTGGGGGAGGGAGGGGGGGGAAGAAAGCTCACCTGCCTCGCGCCTACCTCTCCTCCTGCAAATTATTTATTTTTTATTAATTTTCCAGCCAAATTTTGCGAGGTGGGGGGGAGGGGGGGGAAGAAAACTCGCCCGCCTCACGCCTACCTCTCCTCCTGCAAATGTAGCGGCGGCGGCAGCAGAAGCAGCAGCGGTGGTGGCGGCGGCGGGGGCAGAAGCAGCAGCGGTGGCGGTGGCAGCGGCAACAGCAGGAGGTGGCGGGGTGGGACTTTTGGGCTGCGGCTGCCCGTCTTTTCTGTTGCTCGCCTCGCCCCGCCTCGCGCCTACCTCTCCTGCAAATGCAGCAGCGGCGGCGGCGGGGGCAGAAGCAGCAGCGGCGGTGGCGGCGGCGGGGGCAGAAGCAGCAGCGGCGGCAGGGGCGGTGGAAGGCAGAAGCAGCAGCGGCGGCGGTGGGGGGGG